GAGAAACAGAGCAGGGAAAGAAAGGGCTAACTTTTGTGAAAAGCAATATAATGGGTAAATTTTCATGGCTGAAAGGTATATTCAGTGAGCACAAAACATTTGCTATATTTTGTATCCACCTTTCTGACTTACGTTTGCTGTAAAGTATTTCTGAGCAAGCCATTTCAGCAAAGCAGAATTCAAAATCATACTTGTCTGTGGAGAATTTGGGGTAGATGACGGTAGAATAAAAGTGATGGAAATTATGTTTAGACTCACTGCTTACTCTCCCTTCCTTTCTTTCCAAATTATATAATCTAATAATTGTTTTAATTTATGTCTACAGCCCAAGTTCCATCTTCAGTTAAACAAATGTAAATTCCTATAGTCATAGTTTCATCATATTAAAAGCAAGTGTTTGCTATTATAATACAATAAAGCCGAAACAGAGTATACTGGAATTTGTCTTAGTCTGCACAGACATTTTGTATAAGACCCATTCTGTTAAAAAGTAAATGCTTTATTCATCACTTTTTTTTTAATGGAATGGAATACCAATATAAGGAAAAAGTAACAGAAGCCTGACTTTGTTCTGATGCTACAAATATTAATAGCTAAGAAAACATATGATCTACAAGAGCATTTCTGGATTACAAAAGTTGGATAAACTTCAAGTCAGCTGGCGTTGTATAAACTAGAAGAGTGCAATGCATGTAAAATTTTGTTTATAGAGAGGTTTCCATATGAAAAAAAAACATTAAATCCTCTCACAAATTGTCTTTTTATATAGGAATCATTTACCTGGTAATGAAAGTCTTAAGTAGCTAGAAAAATATCTCTGGAAGGAAAGAAAAATAACATTAGATGTTTTCTGAGCTAATATTTGTTCTTTTCATAGATCTTTGAAAACTTGCACAGTGTGACATAAAATGTCTAAAGTTTAATCCTAAAAAGGTTTTATGTGAAAAAAAGATTCAGCTATTATTTGAAAGTGTGATTTTCAAATAAGAGCTTGTTGTTCTAGCAGATGTCCTATCATTATGGGATCCCAAATACTTTGGAAAGCATTGCATAGAAAGCCTCCTGGGCAGAGGAGAGACAGTTGGGTGGGACAAAAATTCAAAGTCTCACAGCTTGCAGCAGGAAGTTCTCCATATGCGCACTTCACAAGAGCTTTTAGCTTTTAAGTGCACTTATCAGTAGGCTTCCTAAGCCTTGAACTTTGGTCTTCAAGACAGTAGAAAATCTTGGATTAAAAGAAAAAATCTGGTTCTGCCCAAGTTTACACAGGACTGTGTTCTCACTTGTTTTACCTGTCTTTACTGACCTTTCTGCAGCCAAGTATTAGAGAAACACTTTTCAGTTCACCTATTTTACTTGATTATTAGATACTACTTCCTATTCTCTCCAATCACCAACAGATTTGATGTCTATTTGCAGTCACTTCTTTTGAATTCAAGGTGTAGCTCTAATTCTAAAATTTCTTCATTTTTTCCATTCTAAAGAATTTGTGTTGGCAATTTTTTCCTATATACACTTTTGTTTAGTGTAGTGTTTTATTTAACCTCTGGTTGATTTTAGCATTGTCAATTATAGATAATCTGTGCTGGAATATCTTAGAGAATTCTTCCACACTATGTTTGGATGATCATTACCTGCCAGATAGGGATTTCAGGATCATAGGATGAGGTGGGAAGGGATCACAGGTGGGCACTGGTCAAAACTGCTGCACAATGCAGGATAAGCTCTGAGCTCAAACTGGGTCAGTCAGGGCTCTGGCCAGCCAGAGCATCTCTCATTTCTGTTTCTCACCCTCTGCCACACACTATGGGCCTGACTCCATCTCTTCCCTCACCTCTGTGCAGGAGCTGGCCATTTCCTGGTAGGTGTCTGAGCCCCTCCCCTCCCCAGGCTGAGCGAGTCCCCTTCCCTCAGCCCCCCCTCACAGAGCTCCAGCCCCAGACCAACTTCACTGCTGGTGTTCTCCTTGGATGGAGTGGCCCAAAATTGGATGCAGTATTCCCAACATGGGCTAGAAAATAGTGTATGTGTCACTAACATTTCAGTGACCAGAACAAAATGCCTGGGGGCTCAGAAGAGGAATGGTCACCAGTCGATCTAAGGGTGTGCAAGGAGAAAAGGTTTTGAGAGGAACAGAGTTCAGCCAGAACCAGAGTGCACACTTCCTGGAGAAAATTTTGTAACTGGCTGCATATAATGCCTGTATTATTTGTCTTGCAACTTCAGTCCCCATATACCTGAGTGGGATACCTCTGGTCACTGCATCCATCCAAACACAATTCTCTCTCATGTAAGTACACCAGAGATACACAGTTGGAGAGGATTTATCCCATTTCCTTGCTACATAGAACTTCTGAGTCATTGCCACTACTTGTTTGAGCAGTACTAAATGTAAGCATCTTAGTTGTATCTGTACACCCACACTGAAGTTTTTATATAAGATTCAAATGTGCCTGATTAACATAAGAAAACCCTGTGCATATTTGTGGAGCAGGTGCAAGCAATTTCTCATCTCTTCCTGAACAAAAGGTTAATACATTCTCACAAGTGACTTAATCCAACCTTATAGTTAAAAATTATGTGATTGTAAATAGATAAAAATGAAAGTCAAAAAGCTTCAAGTAATGCCCTGTAAATATCAGTTAATATTCAAAAAGGACAGGATGTTTGAAAAAAGAGAAAAGTTACACCACTAACTACCAATAATTTGCATACACTGCATTAATTTTAAGAATTATTTATGCTGTAAAATTTAAGCTTAAGTACATACAGCATGTGCAATGTAGGAGTGTGATGTAACAAGGTCTGCAGCTCATATTTTGAATTGTAGATTTAAAATCAAGTGAATTGAAAGTAAATGTAAGCCTGGAGGAACTAAGTTTTATGGTGCAGAACTGCATTGAAAAGAAAAGGTAGGAACCTGGTAGAATATGAATGATACCCATATTCCCAAATTCATTTTGGTTTTTATCATCTCAGTTAAAATTTGTTCAATTTCTTGAACTATTACAATTACATATGTAATGAAGAGTAATTATGATACGTGGAAAAAGAAGAGGAATTACGATAAACATTTCCTGGTAAGATGTAACCGTGAGGTGACAGGATGTGAATTGGGCCCAGGTAACAAAATTCTATGTGTGTGTGTATCTGTGTGTGTGTAGCAGGGGGTAACAATTATTTGGGGAATTTAATCCCATTGAGGAGTAAAACCTGTTGTGGGTGACTCCCATCTAAAGATTTTCTAATCCCGAGGAGGAAAAGGTTGCATGTAAATCCTTGTCAAATGAGCTCCAGCTTCCCCCAAGGCAGGAAGCACAGCAGGGATGGCATTAGGAAACAGCTCTCACACTGACAAAGCAAGGACAGAGCAGCTCTGCAGCCTCTCCCCTGCCCACTGCTGGCCCCTGGGCCACAAGGAGCAAGGGCTGGATGCTTGACCAGGCCTGCCAGGAAACCAGCAAGGACTGCCAGTTAGTAATGACAGCTGCTCTTTGTAACACACCTGTGGAGCTCAGGGAACAGCAGCAAGAGGTATCAGGGTTGCTGAGCTGTCCTTTACTGCACATTTACCAAGAGGTGTATTTCTGGTAACCTGGGTTTGCTAATCTTTGTTAAATGTGTTGGCTAAGCATTTACATGCTTTTCTATATTTGGAAGACAAAAATTGCACTTCAGTTTTTCAATGGGATTCTTTTGTTCAACTGAATTTTGTTGTACTTAGTGATTTTTTAAAAAATTTATTTTTAAACTTTCACTGGTAACCAAGTCTGCACATTTAAAAACCGAGTTAAGTATATGAATTTTTTGAATATTGAAAACAGATAAATATTCATTCAAACGTGGTTTATAAGAGCTTGTTTTCTTAAGCACAGACAGCAACTTCTTTGGGATTTTCTTTCAAGCCTTTTTTAAAAACACGTTCAGAATTCTTCAAAAAGGAAACACTGAAAATCATTAACACACAGACGAGTAACTCAGAGAGGTGCTTATCAAAGGATGTCGAGGCTGTGTCCCAAAAATACTTCAGCAGGTGTCTATTGCCCCCTTCAGACTATTCCCAGTACTAGAGAAAAATAATTATTTGGAAACTGAGAGCTTTCCTTTGCAGTAAGGGAAAAACCCTAAGAGGAAAGGTATTGTTAAGTAGATAGTTGGTGAATTTTTTTGGATATTAGCAAAGGTTTTTCTTGGTATTAGAAATGCAAAGTAATGCATTAATTAAGTAATTATCTTAATTAGTATAGCAAACAATCCCTCAAGTTGCATCCTGAGCAGCTAGGTTCAGTAGTCAAAACTGAGGAAAAAACATCTTAAGAGCAATGGCTGCAGTACAGGCTGGGAAACTTGGAAATCAATTCAAGCTTACAGAGTGCATTTATACACTTTTGGTTAAGTGATTCCAACTCTGTGATTTGGGTCTTCATATGCAAAACAAATTGTGCCCTATTTCTCCTTTCACCTTCCTTCTACTTCAGAAAAAGTTGTTGTAGCATGATCAACACAAGCCTGGTAGAAGCTCTATTTAATCCCCAGATGGGAGATAACACACCTAGATTTTATATGCCCACATAAATTATGTGTATTTACAGTGCTCCATGTCCATACATATAGTTACTGTGTCTATATGTGTGTTCAACAGCACCCTAATCTCAGATGAAATTAAGAACTCCCTTCAAAAAGAACATCACTTCAGTGAAAATATAGCCTCAGTTAGTATGCTAAGTGACAAGGACAACTACAGCTAGGAAATAAAATCATATCATGGAGTTAATACTTGGTGTCTGGGCTGTAATGTGATTGATTAAGCTTGCCTGACAAGGCTTTATAAAATAGATGAAAATAAAGATTTAAAATAAATATTTTTTAATCTAAAATATTATCTTATGTATTGATTCTTTCTGTAGGGAGAAAAAGAAACTATGCTGATGAAAAGTTATTTTGTATCCACCTTTCCTACTCACAACCTACTGAGATAACAGCACATATAGAGCCTTTTATAGAGTGATACTGCTTTATTATTTAGCAAATGGCTAAGGAAGAACAGCAATACAGATTTGATGGTGCATTTCATTCCATGTACCTCATAACATAAAGGTTTCCAGAGAACAAAGCTTTCATTTGTTAAAAGGGAAAGAAATACCAAACTAAAATAGTTATTTTCTACTTGGGTAAAATTCAAAGCTTCTAACTGAAGCTCTTGCATACATACAGTATATTCTAATTGCTGTCCTGTTGCTACTCATTTTGCTGCTAATATTAAAAAAAAAAAGTAAAGTTTTCATTTTTCACATGACTGATTCTCACCATACCAAGGAAAAGCTTGACATCAACCTTCAAGTTAAATCACTCTGATGTGACAGAAGGCTCCTCCTCTTCAGGCAGATTATACATCCACTGAAGTGTAGTGCAATACATCACTGAGGTATGCTGGGTGTTGCTTGTGGCAGCTTACCGCCTTTTTTTTTTTTTTTTTTTAACACTATAAGTTTGGGTTTATCATCCCCATTCCTTGGCACTCAATGATGTAGGTATCATTACTGGGATCTTCCTCTTCTGATTTTGTTATAGTAAATTTGGCCTAAAAGTGGTGAAAATAGTGAAAAGTAGTGAAATATGTCACTAATTAAATTATCACATAGAGCAGTTTAAATATTCAATATCTGATGTCCAATAATTGTACTGCCACATGTGTATGTATATTACAGCTTTGACAGATTTAATTCAAAAAGCCATTTAAATTTAAATAAAGGTGATAAAAGTATCTAACCATTCTAAAAGCCTTTAACTCTAGAGTATGCTCACTTTCTGCAGGTAATCTCCCAGTTAAATATTATAGCAATTACTTTATCAATGCTTGTCCTCCATGATCAAGTTCAGTTCCCACTGCCTGATGAACAGTACATTACCAAGTTACCGCAAGAACTTCCTTTTGGAATGGACTTACCTTTGTTAGCTGCTCTGCAAAGTGTATAGCTGTTTGAGTATGAAGTGTAATTGGTCCACTTTTCACTCTAGACACCCCCTTTGCTAGTGCCATAAAAATGATCAGCTGAAAGGGAGAGAAAGGTAATTATTAAATCATTCTTCAGATTCCAGTAATTTATTGATTAAAAAAAAACCAACCAAAACATGCAAAATGTCTGTAGATATAAAAATATTGTCTTCCAGGTTTCACAAAAGTTCATGAAGCTTAGTTTGAAGAGTGATCCCAGGCTCCACAAGTTTGGAGATTGCTACTGTAATTCCTATTACAGACGGGCTACTTTTCCACAGTGGAGCTTGTCCCTGAATCCCTGTTACTACATTTAACTTTGCTTTCCCCCACTGTATATTCCCCTAAAGTCACATCAGACTCCATATTAGTAGATTACTAATGGTTACTAGTAGATTACTAATGGTAGGTACTAATGATTACTAAATACTCTAGGTAATCTACTAATCCAGAATGGATTACCTATATGGAGAGAAACTCAGGAAGAGGTATTTTAATTCTAACACTTCCGGATCACGTATTCACCAGGCACCTGAAAACCTTCAATTTGACTTAAAAACATCACCATGACAAGAATACTACAAGGTGTGATTAACTCCTTGCAGTTCTCATACACAGTGACTCCAGCTTGTTCCCATCAGTTGTACTTGCATGCTTTGAAAAAAGTAGGCTGGATCCAAGACTGAAATACTTATTATGCTACATAATATTCATGTGTGCCCAGGTGTTTACAGCTAAGAGGTAACATCATCCTAGTTAAACCAACACAAGATTCTTATCAGGCTAAAATAAGGCAGTGAAGTGCCTTCATTTTTAAATTAAATTAGGGGAGAAAGATAATCAGGAGCATGTCCTAGATATTCTCTGATACCTTTCTTTAGCATCATTCTATATATGTAAAGAGGGAGCTATTATCACTGCACTACATGGAATGCCAAATAGAAGCAAATTCCTGCCTCCTTCTTCCATACTTATTTGGGGTTAGAGAAAGGGAAAATTTGAGGGTGTTGGTGTAAAGCTAAAAGCATTTGTGGTTCCTAAAAACTGTATATAATTTGCTAATTCAAGTGATGTGACTACATAGCTCTGAGACTATTAACATCTTGTTCCTTCCCTGTTCAGATCTATACTGGTTACAAGTAGTGCATACATTTCTTTCTACTTCATGTAAACACATATAGTAACCTTACTTGGTCTTGCAGAGAATCATCCACAGTTCCACCATGTTTAAGATTCTGAAGCAGCATCTCAGCTGCTTCAATGCCAACTTTGTCAGCATTTTTTCCTAAGAGAGAAATCAGAAAGCTGAAAATTACTATTTAAAATTTTAAAAATACAAAAAAAACCCCAAAAACAACCCAAGGAATTATCAACTTTTTAAATCTTATGCTCTTGCCTCTAATGTCTGCTTAAAAAACCCTTCCCATCTTATGCTCATATATAGTCTATACTTCCTAAGCAGTGGAAAGTAGCCTCATTTAGTCAGAAAGACATTAGATTCAAATAATTTATTCTTCCATTTATTTTAATCTAGATTTACTCTTGACCAAAAACTTCACGTGTAAAGGAACACAAAGCCTGTGTTCCTAAAGTTCAGAAATATTTGCAGTGATTATCCATTCTGATATGAGGTAAAGTTAACAGTTCAGTAATTTTTGTAAATTTCCATTTACTATGTTTTAAGTCTACTAATTTTTGCTGTCCTTTATTTCTATAAACATACATTTAAAAATGAAACATTCAAAGCATCAGATCATTAAACAGATTATACTTCAGATTCCTATTTGTTACTGGTTTATTCAGTTAAGTCTCAAAGAATTTATGGAATTCTTACCTCTCTTGCCAAGTGATGACCCAGCTAGCAAACAACCTGTTGAAGTCTCTGCAATAATACTAAGCAGAAAAACAAAAATAATTAAAAATAAGAACAAAATCACTCATATTACAGTTTATTTACCAGATATGTAATCAAGATCTAGCTAATCAACCAACAAGATTAGAGCTAACAACAGACAGCTTGGATTCAACTTACATTATTCCACTTCCAGTCCCAACAGCTTGATCATCAGGTTCTCTGACAGGCTGAATGTTAATGTAAAGATCTCTGATTTCTCTTCTGATGCATCTCACTGCTGCTGCTGACATGTCTTTTGCCAGCTAACAAGACAAGACATAAACCCAGTAATTATGTAATACAGCAATACATTTTCCTCGTAAATTCAATTATTACAGTTAATCCCTGAATAAAGGGGCTACTTTATTAACTAGAAAAACAAAGGATTGTTATAAACCCCTACAAGAACTGAACATGATTTTTTTCTGAAAATTTTTCTAGAAAATTAAGGTAACATTAAATGTTGTACAAATGACAGTTATATAAATGTATATAGAAACTTCAATATCAATAGAAATCCAAGAACTTTTCTTCATTCATAGAGAAAACCATTTGATTTTAGTCTTCTCACAAAACATTAGCTTCTAAAAATGGCCCACCCCAAAAACAAGTTCAAAAATCCCACCCCACAATAATTATGTACAGAATATACTCTGTAAGAGAGAATACATAAAATAACAATTTTACATCACAAGCAAATGAGGGGAATACAAAGCTTATCCCATTCCTGTGATCTAATCATAGCTATATTCATGGATTTGGAGATTTTAAGACCAAAACAGCAGTCCACAGCCTTTTGAAAAGTAATTCAGTTTCTCCTCTTCCTTCCTCTACTAATTCCTAGCCTGTATGTGAGCCAGAACCTTAAGGAGATCTCAGCACTCAGGACAGGAAGAATAGAAAGGAGATATAAAGGAGCAAATTTCTCTCCTTCTAATTTTTGTCTAAATCTACCCTTAACTTGTTCTAATACCCTTAGCAATGGCTGAAAAACTTGTCGTAGTCTGGCCTCCACCTATTACAGTGCTCATAAATATGAACAAGGGCCCTAATTCCAGATTTAAAATAATCCACGTGAATATGAAGAATACATAAATCAGATATAAGATATCCCTCAATATATGCTAAAGACTTTTGAATAGTCCTGTGAAGGATGAGGATACTGTTCTCATTTCCTGTTTCACCTTTACACTGCTGTGTGATGAATGAATTTTAGGTATGTCCAATATAATATTCTACAGCCTGAATAATCAAAACAATAAGGTTGCTTAGCTTGTGTAAGGCTGCAAAAGACAGGAGAGTAGAGGAATGTTAAGCAGATTGCATGCAATTTTATGTAGCTATATAAAGTTGGATACTACCAGAGCCATGATATGCACTTACTTTGATAGGCAGTGCTCCAGCAACAAATGCCCTTCCATAAATCTTTGTCACTGTGCCACGTTCTGTTAAGTTTATTGGGCTCAGCTCTTTGACTGGAGACATCTGGACTACAACTTCACCACCTCCTTGAGGGTAGTAACCCCTATTTAGAAACAGTAATTGTATGTAACTAAATGCAATGATCACAAGGAAACCAAGAAAAGGGTCAGGAGGCCCTTAATATATTTCATCATACATTTTTATGTTCCCTGCTACTGTAACATACAAATTTTCTTGATGTGTGCCTTAGAAACTCTGATGATGGAACTGAGTTCTCTAACACTAATCCTCTGTAATGCACATCTTATTAATTTCCTAACACTAACCTAACTGGCACCTTGGAAAAAGCTCAGTAATGCACTGCCTGTTCAGCATGTGCTCCCCTCAGGGAAGCCAACAGGAAACATTACACAGCAGCTGTGGACCCAGCAAGGAAAAAAGAAGACAGCAAAGAATCATATCCCATTCATCATAGGGTGACAGTACACACAGGGACAGCTAATGCAGATTAGTTCATGTATTATAAATTCATCCCTCAGTTTGATTGAGAGCCCCTTGTGTGTGCCTCTGCTCACACACGGGTTCAGTAAAGCCCAGATCTGCTGCACAGCTCCACAACTCACCTCCTTTTTATGTCACAATTAAATGTGAAGTTGAACTTTTCGACTACTGGCTTGAAAACCTGAAAAATAAACACATATAAAAACACAGAGTGAATTTATTTTGCATTAATATTTTCCCATTATTTTATGCAATCTTAAAAGAGAAAAAAAAGCTCAACACAAAAAATTCAGTTACATTACTGAAAAAAAAAAAGATAGCCAGTCTCATCCATATAGCTTATTTGATATTTCTCATACTTCATTCTCAATGTCACCTTGTGTAAAAGGACTTTCTTATGGAAAAAAAGAAGAGTAATTCACAGCACTTCTAGATAAAGAATACATTTTAACTGAAATTTTATGTAGTAATTAAAACCAAAGAAACTGTTTGCTGTTTCAGGAAATTCCATGAAACACTGGTTGCTCTCTACATCCAGTACACTAAGAGTGTCATAGTCCCATGCCTAATTCCATAGTCACAAACAGACTTGCAGTAAGAGGAACAGCAGTTACATTGCACACATATTCAGGGAAGATGCACCAAGACAAAGGAACTTCTCCCTACCATGACTGTGTAGTCTATCTGAGGAGCCATCTCCGCATTAGTCCCACCTTTTAAATGAAGCTCTGATGGGGAAGCAGCAAACAGCACACAGGGCATTGCTACCTGCATCAGTAGACACACACTCCTAAAAGCAATTATAAGATACTCAAATGTCAGACACCCATAATCCACAGAATTCCATAGAATCACTATATATCAAAGGCAGATGACCTTCCAGAGCATCTACTTTTGCATTTTATTTTTAAAATTATCTATAAACTTATTAGTCTTAAAAGATACTAATTTAAAACTTGTCATCCTTAGCAAGCCTAAATATGAAGGTTTTCATTTCACAATAATTGTAACTTTAATACTTCTGTCTGAAAGAAAAGTTATGTATCTCCCTTAGTATACAGATGGGACCATGAAAACTGTGGGTCTAGGTAGCAGAAAAGGCTTCGGCAGCAATAACATTTTAATACATGGATGGAATATGTTCCAAAAGACTAATATGACTGTCCTACTATGAGTGTAAGTAAAATATCAAAATTTACCTTATTGTATGATGATTATTTCAGACTTCATGGATGTGAGATACTTATCTAATTTAATGGATTTGGTCTGGTATGTAACACAGTAAATGTAAAGAAATTACACCTAAAGTTTTAAAGACACAGGCACCTGCTTTTTGCATAACATGAACCAAGTGTTCAGCTTTTACATCAATCATACTTTTAAACTTTGCATGTACTTCATGCATCTCCTGCCTATACTACAGGTTATTTGGTCACACAAATCTGGCTCAGGCAGCACATATCCTGGGTCATTACCAAAGCATAAATGTTCTTTTCCCCCCCCATATCAATTGTGATAATTTTAAAGTTATCAGAAGCTGGTACAAAGACATACCCTGCTGTTTTTGTATCTGCTATGTGGGTTCCACCTTTGATCTTCCCAGGAGTGAAGGTTATTTCTGTTGAGCCAATTTCACCACCATTCAGCTTCCCATCACACAGATCTCGAATGATCTCCAATCCAGACAGATGCTGAGGTCTTAGAGAGATGATAAACAGTTAAAGACGCATACAAGTAGACTACACGCTCATGTTACATTAAAAGAACCACTAAAAACCAACTAAAAAACTACAAATGCAAATTTTGGATTAGACAAGGATCAGAAATTCATTCTGGTTGCTACAGTACTTCTGACCTCACAGGAGCCAAAGGAGCAGCATTCAGGCTATACTGGGATACGCAGGATTCTAGTATCTTTCCCACTAGTATAATATTCTAGTATATTTCCCACAGACAAATAGATGAGATGCAGGAGCAGTCGCTTGTCCTTATGTGATAAATGCTTGGACAGAAATGCAGCGGGATAATGATGGCAATACTGGCTGAGCTAGAACCGGTTGCAGTGCTACCAGAGAGTTAACAGGTTTGCTATATAGTTGCCTTGTGCTTGTTTCCATTTATTAAGGTAATTTAAATAGGAAACACACCAACTGTTCTTAACACTGGAAATACACTAACTGTAGCAACACTAGGATATGCACTCACTGTTCTTAACACTGTACGCTCGGTAAGCTATGTTTCACTCAGGCATTACATGAGTGCGTTCCCTGTTTCAAACCGTGTTTTCCACTTAGCACCCGTAGAACCATTTCCGAGGCTGCGGCCGGGCCGCGCCCTCACCTGCCCCGGGCCGGGGAGCCGCGCTGAGGGCACCGGCGAGGGAACCGAGGCCAGTTCATGCCCCAGCGTTCCCCCTCACTCCTTGTGAGCCAAAGACGGGATTTTCTGGTAAAAAGGCCCTTTTAAAGCAATGGAAACACAAATGATTCAGACGAGGGCAGCCGAGGCCTTGCGCAGCCGTGCCCCGGCCCGGGAAGGCCCCCCACGCCGTAAGTGACCGGCTGAGCGCCCCGGGACCGCCCGGGGAGGGTCTCACCTGAGGCCGGGCTGGCTCCGCCCGGCGCGGATCCGGCGCACCCGTACGGGCAGCCCCAGCAGGCAGCTCAGCGCCGTGGACACCCGCAGGATCTGCCCGCCCTGCAGGGAGAAACGGCGATCAGGCCCTACGGCACTTCCCGCCCACCCCGCCAGCCCTTCCCGCTGCCCGGGCCAGGTAAGCCGCGGCCCGCTGGCTCTCACCCCCTCCATGATCCCGCCGTCTATCTCCACTCTGTCCCCGTCCATGGCTGGCGATGAGCGATGTCTCTCGCAGAGGCCGCGCCGATGGGATCCCGGCGGGGCCCTAAATACTGCGAGTCCTCGGCGAAGCAGCCCCGGGGCCAGGAGCGCTTGGCGGCGGAGGCGCGCCCGGGATGCTGCGGTGCCGGCGCTGGGGGCGGGCGGTAGTGCCGGGCGGCGCTGCCGGGCAGGCGCAGAGCGGAGGCACCTCCCTGCCCGCCCGCCGGGGTTGGCCGGGGAGGCTCCGCCGTGGGGAGGAGCAGCAGGGGTAGCTCCCTTGTGCTCGCGGTACTGACCGCGTCCCGGCAATACCTTTTCCCTGTCCTGAGGGCCGGAGCGGTAACAACCGCTGCACCTGCGAGGTCAGAACCGTGGGCACAGTGTTGCCGCCGGAGGGGAGCGGCCGGACTGCTGCCCTCCTCGTTACAAACTAGTTTTCCTCAGAATCACAGAATGAATTAGATTGTAGAAGACCTCTGAGATTATCAAGTCCAACCTATAAACGAATACCACCATGTCAGCCAGACTATGGCACTAAGTACCACGTCCAGTTTTTCCTTAAACGCCTCTAGAGTTGGTATCTCCACCACACTCCTGGGCAGCCCGTTCCAATGTCTAATCACCCTTTCCGAAGAGATTCTTCCTAATGTTCAACGTAAACCTCCCCTGGAGCATCTTAAGACTATGCCCTGTCGCTCGTCACCTGGAAGGAGAGGTCGACCTGGCTACAATCACTTTTCACGTAGAACCACAAACACGGGCGTGTTGGTCTTGCAGGCGCGCTCGGGACTTTATCACACGCGTATCGGGAACGGCCGGGCTCTTCGCGCTGCCCTTCCCGCTACTGCGGCCCGGGGAAGCCGCACGCCCTGCACCGCCACCCGCGGCCCTGGGCCCCGCACAGGGGACGCTCTCCCGGTCCGTACCGTGGGCGTGCGTGGGCCCGAGCGCCGCCCGCGCTGCCCGGGCCCGAGCGCCGCCCGCTCCTGGTTGGCTGTGGCGGCGCGGCCTCCGCCGGTTGGCTGAGCCGGGGGTGTGTGCAGGGCCGCTCTGCCCGGGCAAGATGGCGGCCGTGACCGCGCTGAGGAGCAGCTGCCGAGCCGCGGGGCGCCTGGTAAGGGCAGCGGGAGCCCCGCTGGCGGCGGCGCTCCCGGCCAGCCGGGGTGGGAGGAATAACGCGCGGCATCCCCGAGCCCTTGTCCTCGGTTCCTGCCGTCCGGCGGGCACACAGCGAGCACCGCGCCTCTGCAGCTCGCGGAGCTGCCGCCTCGGCAGTGGCCGGGGGCGGGCGGCGCCTCAGCTCCCTGCCCGCCGTGCGCTGCCCGTGCTCCGCGCAGGTGACCGAGCTCCCGGCCGTGCCGGGACCGCCCGCCCCGCGCTGCACAGGGACCCCCAGAACTAGCACCCTCCGCCCCGCGCAGCCCCCGGACTGCCCTGACCTTGCCCGTGGTCCCTGTGAGAGAAACGTGTGCCTTTCTGTAATAAGCCAGTGACACGTCCTCTTCTGCTATTTCTAAGTCATCCCATTATTGCTTTGCCTGTACGTTGCTGTGCCATCAACGCTTCTCCGCCCATGCATCACCTCTCTTAGCATACAGCATCTGCACGGGGACCGTGTGGCTACACGTACACAAAAGGGAAACGGATTTCTTTGGATTCCAGGAGCCTTGATGCTTGAAAAGCAGTTGAGATACCTTACCATAAGAAGTGAATGTACTTGGTTGCCTTTCTGGAATACTTACAATTTCGTGAATGCGGACCTAGTCCATGCTTTCTTCTGTCTTCTTGTATTATAGTCTTCTTGCTGTTGTGAAGAGCATTGCTTTATTATTTTATTACCCCTACATTGTGGGATGTCAGAGAAGAAATAACTTTTGAACTTTAGGAAACAAAATTAAGGATCAGTTCCAGTTTCTAGTATTTTTTTTTAATAACTCATAAAGTATAAAGATGAGGAATTTATAAATGATACTTTTGTAATCCAGTTTTCAGCTAGTAACTTTTTTAATAATTTTGCTAATTAAGAGCATTGAAAATAGCACTTTCTTTTAAGTTGTATTTCTAACCATCTACTCTTAAATGCAGAGGGAGAGTCTGGTAAGATGAAAACACTCATCTATGTGCATGCTAAACTGTAGAATTGGCTGGTTTATAGTGTGTATTTCCTGCAAGCACATTTTGAATCTGAGCCAGGGGGCTTTTGTGTTACGTGGTAGGGAAATTGCAGTTACCTGGATACTGGGACATGTGGCGGGTATTTAGATGACAGATGACATCAGATTAAAACATGTTACCAGGGATGTTGCTTTAGTATTAAGTATAGTATATCAGTAACTATATCCTTGGAAATACAGAATATGTATGCAAAACACATCCAGTGTGAGGAAATGTTTATTAAAATGACTCCATGGAACAGAAGTCAAGAGAGTTCAGCAGGGCAGTATCCTTTAATGCACAATCATTGCATGTGAGCATGAGCTGCTCAATTTGACTTGGAAATTTAGTGTTAATCCATGAGGTAATCAGTTCTCTGGAAGCTGCTTAAAAATATTTTGGTCTGAGGCCAGAATACATTTTCAGGATCAGTGGTAGTTTAGAAAGCCGGAGTTGTCTTGTTTTTAAGGAAACAACCAAAGTTAAACCAGAGGGCCAAGGCAGTTCTCCCTGAGTGCACTCAGCTCCCCTCCTGGCTCGGGTCAGAGCATGGCTCTGTCAGCCAGGCTCAGTCCCAGCCTCAGTCCCAGAGAGGGACTTGAGTGGGCCCTTGGTTCCTTTTTGCCAGAGTCACACTGCACATCAGAGACTTGCACAGGAAAGATGTTACCTTGATGTGACATTATTGCCTTTAAGTTGCTGTTTAGTGTAATAGTAGCCACATTAACAAACTCATTACTAGCAGTTATGTTTGGGGTTTACTGATTGATTTTTCCAGACATCAAAATATGTAGATGGGTATGCTATGGATATTAGAGCTAATTTTGTCTTTTAGGTGCCATTTTTATTTCCTTGTTTGGCATAACACCAGTATTACAGTGATTAAATGCTGAATTTGTAAGCACAGTCTTTTTGTTTAATGGATTTTTTTCCTTGCTAGTAAGGAACACTGCTCTGTGAAGAGATTGTGTCCTGCATTATTACTTTAACATACTAGCACAGCAACCTTTTAGTAGAGAATGTGCAAAATTGAAAACTAGAGAGAGTTCCTTTTTAAAAATGCAGTAGTTTTGAATTATTCCTACAGATATAATATGAAACAGCATGGTCACTCTTCAATAACAACACCAGTCTCTTTTTTTGGCAGTGACATTACTAATTCACTACCTGCATTGGTAACCAAAGGTTAAAAACACATGGAAATCATTGTGAAACTTCACATTTAGAAATAGTTCAGTGTGCTCCTTGTGCTCCTTGTGATCATCTTCACAGGTAAATACTGAATGTTTTTCATTTAGGGTCGTGTAAAGAGAAAAGAGGGTTTTTGCAAGTTTGTGACAAAAAGGTCTAGTTGAACATTTTTTTCAGTAACATTTTAATGTAAACATGTTACCTTCAACTGGGAAGAAACCCAGAATTAAAGTAGGAGAAAATAGGATTGTGAAGATGTACATTAGTTTTGTAATTTAATGAGAACTTTAAATGTATTCCTAAAATACAAATTTTCATAACTGGAAATCGCCATGCTATCTGATTGTTGAATATGGAAAGTTATTTGGAGGACAAATGAAAATATTTTCTATTTGCTTGTTATAGGAATTAGGAAAATGCTCATTCTAGATCAGTAGGTACCATATTAGTGGCAGGCAGTGAAAGGTAACTCGAATGATGTAACTTTGTTGTGTCCATTTTGATAGATTGTATTGTATAAAAGGTTTGTTCCTTAAAGAAAGGGGATATTAAATATAACTTGCAGTACTAGGATAAATAATACAGAAAATTAGTACACTGTCAGTTTAGAATTGTGTTGCCCTGAATAATGTACTTTTTAAAAAGTGGACTGTGATAGCAAATAGTTGAACACCGTGGGGTGTGGGGAGGGAAACAAGAAGTTTCATATGCTCTGTAATTACTGAAAGGATTTTTTAAACAAGAAGTTAAAATGAACTTTCCCATGCAGGTGTGCTGTTTTCTGGCTCCTCTAAGAAGATAATTTCTAAATTTTACAGTTTTGAGCTACTTGAGGTACATTGTAGCACCTGAATTTTTTTCGTATCTCTAAATTAGTTAGAGATAGTATCTACAAAGAAACTGTTATTTTTATAAATTTTACAGCACTCTTAAGAAAACATAACACAAGAATTAAATTTATTATTAAATTTAATAAATTTTAATGAATAAGAACGTGTCTGAACTAACTTGTGTTGAGATTAATAAAATACCTGTTTATGTCAATGCAAGCACTACCAGCTTTGCTTTTGATCACAATCATGACTGATTACAAGAAGCTTTAAAGCATAAAGAGTCTTTCAGAAAATTCTGTAGACACTTTAAAGTTGATTTCTGGATAAATGAAATTGTAACCATTAAAGAAAACCATCTCATGGCCAGTTCTTACAAAATATCATTGAAGCTGTTTTGAGATGATGCTTACTTGAAGACAATTGCCTCCTATATAGGAACAAAAATGAAAGGGCAACTCTCTGGGCCCTCTGGTGTGAATTTCCTTTCTGATCAGTACTTCTGATCAACTTCTGATCAGAATAAGAACTAATGAAGACAATATATGCTGGTTTTCCCTGCAGTCTAGGGAAGACTTCTAGCATTCATCCTGGATAGGAATACTTCATATGTCTGATGTAGTTGATAGTATGTGTGCTTTTTGTGTGCCTGTCCTGATTAAGCTAATTCCTGAGGGAAACAGTAGCAATGAATCACTCACCAAATCCTGTCATGATATTTGTTAATTGGTTATGTCACTGTGGCTTTGATCTCCCTGTGTGTTGTGTTAGTGAAAGAAGTTAAAGAACTAGCAAAGCTTTTGCTAATGTAAAGGTTATTTTATATTCAAGAATGTATTCAGTGTAATTGTGTTTCCATAAGAACTTCTCTTATATAGACTAGAATGAAACTATTTTAGTATGAGTGTTACATCAGGAGCATTAAATGAGTACTATATCCTCAGTCCATTGTATTAACCCTTGAGACTTTTCTCCCCAGGTTTGCATTCATCGCGTTAGATCGTGCAGCAGCATTCGCTTTATAAAATCAAAATATGTGTGCGTGTTTGACAAATCTGCCCTCAAGTTTAGTCATCAACAGCGATTATTCAGAACATCTGCTGGTAATCTTTTTCATAATAAAATAATTTCTTTTATTTTACTATTTTATGAGTATTATGTTAGAGGTTTGCATATGGCTGGTGTGTAGACTATTTCTGATACATTCAGACTTTTCTGTTTGGTAGCTTGTATTTCATATTAAACATGCTGTATTTTTTTATTCTCTGTTTCAAGTTTCATGTGGCCAAATTGTCCAGTTTAAGCTTTCTGACATTGGAGAAGGAATTACAGAGGTGACTGTAAAAGAATGGTAAGCTCTGCTTTCCTGGAAATACACTAAGAAATCAGCAGGTAGTTTAGCTGCTTTAGCTGTATGATCAATGAATTATCTGAGAATATTTTTTGGGTTACTAGTGAAGTTTTTCAGGTTTCATTTTGCACATTTTAAAACCTTGTACATACTGAGATTTACATTGTGCTTGTTTTCAGTCTGATAGATTTGTGAGTGAAAAAAAGTGGAAGGAATGGGATGAACCTGTGTTTAGGCTTTTCCTTCAGTGATTAATGTTTTTTGAGTTCAGGAGGCCTGTCTTTTGTTATGTTTACTTAGACTGAGCTTTAGAAACAAATGACTAGTCTAGAGAATCCACATAATTTTATCTTATACCCTTTCTCTATTGCTTTTAGTAAAATATTTGAACTTTTAAATTGTTTGTAAAAAGCCAGTGATGAATGGATTAAACAAAATCAAAGTGTACAGTGAAAGAAGGCAGTGTTGAAAGGCCTTGTTCTTTGTACAAATACCTCTTCTTTGTATATTGACAAGTTGAAACTAGGAACTAACAGATTAAGCTGGGCTCATTCTTATTCTTAAATGCTTCCTAATCTGAGAGGAAAACTCTGCTTTACTAAAATAAATGTAATATGTGTGTAATGATATTCATAATAATTTTGTCTTTTCACTTAACAAAGAGTTCTGTGGCAGGCAGAAAGGCATGTAGCAAACGTATCCAGTATGTAGAATTTGTCTTCTCATCTGGAATGCACTTCCATGTTGTGGGATGTATACTACTGAACTTACCAAAGGAACACAGAGAACGGGTTTTTCTGTCTTTCCTCCCAGGTACATAAAGGAAGGTGACAGTGTGTCTCAGTTTGACAGCATCTGTGAGGTACAGAGTGATAAAGCCTCTGTTACTATCACCAGTCGTTACGATGGAGTCATCAGAAAACTCCATTACAGCATAGATGATATTGCTTTTGTTGGAAAACCACTAGTGGACATTGAAATCGATGCTTCAAAAGGTATTGTAAGCCATTTTTTTCTCATGCATATTTTATGTTTGTTGTCATAAAACAATCAGTGACAGAGAAGCTTACTTTTTCCTCCTAAAAATCTCCAGAGCTTTTTTTCCCCTTTATAAAGTCAAGAAATATGAGTAGAGAAATTTGTGATATTCATTAGTGTTTAAAATCTCCCTGACATTTCCTCTTGAATATTTAGCTTAAGCAGCAGCCTTTAGCCAGCTGTGTTCCCATCCACATTAGCTCAAAGTAAATCATAAAAACTTCAGCTGTCACAGAATGGTTGAGGTTGGAATTTAACAAATGCTTATAATGTAGTAAAGTTAACTATTTTCTTTTTGTTTGCAGGTGTTTCCCCGGAAGAAGATGTTGTTGAAACACCTCCTATGTCTCATGAAGAGCACACTCACCAAGAGATAAAAGGTCACAAAACATTAGCAACCCCTGCAGTTCGTCGCCTGGCCATGGAGAACAATGTAGGTTTGCTGAATAAGGTCCAGTTTACCCAGCTTTTATATGACAGTTTAACAGACTAGAAAAACACTTGTTTTAAAATACATTTTAAATGTGTGAAACTGTTGTAAAAATTAAGAGGATTGTGCTTTCTGATGATTATGGTGGATAGAAAAAGAATGACTGGGCTTAAAACACAGCTAGGAGGCTTTAGGCTGATGACTGAGAAAACCTTTATAAAATTCTTATAAAAATAAGAAACTGTCAGAGGAGATTTCTGAGAATCTCAATAGAGAAAGTAGGAGAGAAAAATAAAAATAAAAAAACACACCTTGTTTTGCTGTTTGGATTTGTATTAGAGTAGATGATATACTAGGTGATGTTTTACATGCCTTTCTAATGCCTCTTTTCCTTTATATGAATATTCCATTGGTTTTGAAAGGTCATGGTGCATTTTTAGGAGAGAATTAAGTGAAAAATAGCTTTTCTTAAATTAATATTTCACTATTGATCCTGTGAGGTAATTAGGAGGTTAATAGTATTCATAGTTCCTCCTTGAAATATGCAGTCAAATACCTAGTGGGACTTTTGGATGATTTGAACTGTGCTGAATACCTAATAAATTATAGAAAGGAAAAGAAAACTGCAAATACATTGGGTCAGAAATAGGAATAATTTTTAACCATAGCTCTCAATATAAGATACTTTTATGTTACAGTAAAACCGAAGTGTCACAGCTTGTTATGTACTTTTCAGATCAAATTGAGTGAAGTTGTTGGAACAGGGAAGGATAACAGAATTCTTAAAGAAGATATACTCAATTACTTGGCCAAACAAACAGGAGCTATTTTGCCTCCATCACCAAAGGCTGAAATTGTCCCACCTGTGCGGAAAGCAGAGGCTGTGCCAGCTGCTCCAAAGGACAAAACACGTAAAATCCCTGTACCTGTTTCCAGACCCATTGCATTTTCAGGAAAAGATAAAACTGAACCTGTAACAGGTAAATCATGAAATATAAAGTCTTGAGACCATGGTCACAGTAGACTACCAGTAACTGTTGCTCTGTGAACAGCTGATTCCTTTTGATGGGAGTGTGTTTCATGTTATTCTTATGCAAGTGAGTATTTAGGAAAACATTATCTGTAAGAAACATCTCTGCTGAAATTATTTTATGAAATATTTGTTCATGTTTTGGTTGGATGGAGTTGGGCTGCAAATTGCACTTGCTCATTTTTCAGGTGTATGTTGAAACAGGTAGGAAATCTAAACATGGATTTGTCATAGTAGGAATCGTTATGCAATTAGTGGCAAAGTGCAGTGAATTAAAGGGTTTATCATGCCTAATAATAGAATACTGCACTATTATGTGAGTAGCATTCACACTTGTTCTGGAGAACAGTGCCATAAAAGACACTAAGGTAACAAAAAATCACATTAAAAGGGGAAGATGAAAGTTTTTTGTTTGCCTTTCAAGCTCTGTTTTTCTGGAAAGGCTGGGAAGCATAATGCAGATTATCATATTTTGATCTCAAATACATACATATATAGGAGAGAGATGCAGTAATATAATCTGAAGTATTACAGACATCAAAATTGAGTTCTATGAGCTGAATAACTCAATAAGTGTTCTTTACCCTGTTCTTCTTTGGTTATGGTTTGGCTTTGGTTTAACTTTTTAAATTTGTGTAATTTGGTTAATGGAAACAGATGAAATTTCACCACAGCTTCACAGAAGCTCATTTTGTTGATTTAAGAAGACAGTGAATGTTTTCCAGGTTTTCAGAAGGCCATGGTAAAGACTATGAGTGCAGCCCTGAAGATTCCCCACTTTGGTTATTCTGATGAGATTGATTTGACTCAACTTGTTCAGCTACGAGAAGAGTTGAAACCTCTAGCTGAAATCCGTGGAGTTAAGCTTTCCTTTATGCCTTTCTTCATAAAGGTAAGGCATGCAGCAGAGCTCTATATGGAGTACTTACACAGGTTTTGCCAAAATGTGTTCAGTGATTATTGTAAGCTTGGAGCACCTGTCATCTGAGTTATGGCAGATCATAGGAAAGCTTTCAACTATTTTTTGGTTTATTGAGCCACTTATCAATTTACAGTTGGAATTGCGGCTAGAGTTATGTAATATCATTGAAATTTTCTGTAATAGTAATGGGAAAGGTGCCTTTAGCATCATTCAATATGGAGGTAAGCATCACCAGGTATTTGAATCGCACAAAACAAGCTTTTGAAATTGTCAGTATTTTTTGAACTCCTTTAAAATGAACCATTATGAAATGCATCATTATTGTTGTTGATGTTAATATTATAATCTTTGTATTGCTAATGAATTCCTTAGGTCACTCACTGTTGTCCCTTTGATTGTTCAGAAGAGCAGGCAGTTGCACTCATGCACAGTGAATATACAGCTTAGTCTGAAACTTTGGGTAATGCTATTGCACTCCAGTAAAAGAGTGCTTCCTAAACACTCATTACATATTGTTATTAATCTAAATTTTCTCCTACCATTACTTCTTTTCTATGGATCTCTCTGCTTATAAAATATAAAAATCTATTTTGTTTTCTTTTGTTATATTTAACAGGCAGCCTCTCTGGGGTTGCTGCAGTATCCCATTCTTAATGCTTCTTTGGATGAGAACTGTCAAAATGTCACATATAAGGTTTGTAAACTATGGATAAACGTTGAAAGCAGAAAGTGTAAAGTAATGTCTAACGGGCTTTTCAGAATGTCTGAGCTAATTGTAACAACCAAGAATTATGGTGTTGTGCAGGAAAATAATTTGTGTGTTCAGATTCTGAGACCTAGATTTGATTTATTGTTGGTCTTATTTCAGTAGTTTGTTAGATAAGAGTCACTTTTTTATTCAGACTTTCCTCAAAAATGCATATTAATATATTCATTTCCTATTTTTCATCTGAATATGGGCCAAGCTTTTAAAATGAGTACATTTCAAACCTAATACAACAATTTTTAAGTAACGGCACGGTGGTTCAACTGTTCCAATACTCAAACCTTATATGTTAAAGTTTATTCTTGATAAAGGTTATATAAATTTTATAAAAGCTGTTGGATTGATACTTCTGAGAAGCAAGTATCTATTTTCTTACCTGATGTGTACTTGCTCCTTCCAGTACAAACTTTTTTTTGTGCTGTTTTATAAATATCTCTCAGAATCCTTATATTCCTTCCAAAAAATGAAAAGCAGGTGATCTCAGTGATGTGGTTGGTAGCTAAGTTCATCTCTAATAGAAATGGAACATGGAGTCTTCCTTTGTTGCAGAGAAACTGTATAGCTCACGACTGAAAAGTTTGTGGTGTTTTTGGATGACTATGCACACACCAAATTTCTTATTTTTTTCTTTTTTTTCTTCTTTTTTTTTAGTTGTAGTGCTCTCTTTAAAATCTGAAATTTATATTTTGTTACACATACGATCATCCTAAAGTGCAATGTTTTCAGTGTGAAGTTGATTCCAGGACTTTGTATTCTCTGAAGGTGAAATTTTCAATGTCAATTTACAGTTTGCAGATGTGAGGCTAATTTAAAGAAAAATGACATCCTTTTCTCCCCTTAAAGTTGTATGCAGGAGTTTCTAACTAAATACAGCACTTTCCAGGTTAAAAAGATAAATAAGGAAAATGTGATTGAAGTGGCTTTTTATGTAAAATACATTTTATGTTGACAGCTTATATTAATGTCTGGTTAATGACACTTGTTGCAGGCTTCACACAACATTGGAGTTGCAATGGACACAGAGCAAGGTTTAATTGTCCCTAACGTGAAAAATGTTCAAGTCTGCAGTGTGTTTGACATTGCTGTGGAATTAAATCGCCTCCAGTCCTTGGGCTCTGCAGGCCAGCTGGGAACAAGTGACCTCACTGGGGGAACATTCACCCTTTCAAATATTGGCACAGTAAGTACAGGGAAAATGGGAGCTGCTTCTGAAATCTGCTTCTGAAATGCAAACTTTACTGAAGTTTAATATGTGAAGAACAAAATCTGTAGCAATTAATTTAAGAGGCAATCTGTTTAAAATAAGCTGTTGAATAATATCCCCACTTTTTTCTTTTCTAGATTGGTGGCACTTATGCCAAACCAGTTATACTACCTCCTGAAGTAGCTATTGGAGCACTTGGAAAGATACAGGTATATTAACTTTACCTCAAGTGATGAGAGTGTTAGCTAAGGTCATCTGTAATGCAAATTGAACATGGAGTCTGCCTTTGTTGCAGAGAAGATGCATAGCTCGTGACTGAAAAGGCTGTGATGTTTTTAGATGACTGTGCACACACCAAATCTTTAATTAGACGTCTCTTACACCATAAGTTCATATTTATTTTCCAGAATCCTGTTCTATTTCACTCACATCCATGTTTAGCCTTCTGGTTAATAAGAAACAATGTAAATACAGTTTTACAAGTTTTGCAACGTGGCAATAGCAATTTTACTATCAGCAGGGAGGAAACTTGAGAAGTATTCTGAAAATGAAGTTTAATTTCATGAGCCAGGTAGCTGAATCTATATAGAATTTTGAATGTGTAGGCAGTTTTATATTTTCTGAATCTCAGGCTTTAATTCTTTAATATAGATATTTGAGCTCAATGCTGAAAATGAAATTAGTATTAACTGAAATTCTATGTTCTTCCTCTGAGCATTTCTTTTCAGAGATGCTTTAAGGAAACTGCCACTTTGAGAACTAAAAGTGCAATAAACTATTCAGGAAGAAACTTTTGAGTCAGGAAAGGCTTTTACTACTTCAGTATTTCCATGATGGTGGAAGCAGGATATGACTGTTTATTATGCAGGCTTGCAATATATTCTAATCCACAGCACAAACAGTAATGGAAAGGTCTTGGTTTTTAGCATGGTGCTACTGCTGTCTGTCTAATTCAGCAAAATGCTTTAATTCAGATCAACAAATTCGCAAGAAAAAAAAAAATGCAGATTTTCTAATGAAAGTATTTAATAATTCTGGTTTTGTCCTTCCTCTGGTTTTTAGGTTCTTCCTCGGTTTAATGGCAAAGGTGAAGTATTTAAAGCACAAATAATGAATGTGAGTTGGTCAGCTGATCATCGCATCATTGATGGAGCTACAATGGCCCGGTTTTCTAACTTGTGGAAATCTTACTTGGAGAACCCTGCTTCGATGCTGCTGGACCTTAAATAAAGGAAACCATGGCTAGAATATGCCTTTAAGCTCTGTGGATTAGACTGAATAGTTATAAAAGCTGTCTCTGCTAACATGTGCCCTTTGCTACGTGCATTATATAATAATGTTATGTGGTTGGAAGTTCTCAACAGCTGAGATCAGTCTCAATTAGTTGTTACTTCTTTCATTTAGTATTGCTGTAATTTCCTCTACAGCAGACTGTCAAACTGAATAGGTCACAGCTTCTGAATATGGTGGTGGAATGTCTTTATTTTGCCTTTTACAATAAGAATGATTGTCAGGCTGGTATGACTGAGTGCCACTGCTCTACACCTGCAGTATTTATAGTCTGAAGGAAAATTTTGGAGGGGAATACTCACAGTTCTTCCATTTTGGACACGTAAATTTATTTTAACAAAGAATATCTGAATTCCTTAAAGGGATTGTGCAAAAATCATATACAAATAAAATGCCTTTAATGCTTCTGCTGTAAGATGTCCAGAGAGCTTTTTGTTGTTTAACTGAGTAAACCTCTTAAGTCTTTTGCTAGTCCACTTTTTCTGGCAATTACTTGCACAGGTACTCTTTATCAAATTATAAACAAAGAGGCCATATTTATTCAAATGCTTACTGACAACATTGATTGATAACTATCAAGGCCTTAATACTCTCTAGAATATCCTGTATTTTTAAAGGCTGGAAGTAGTTTCAGCCCTTAATGCTTTCCAGTTGTTTTTGATTCTTATAGAAAGCATCTGCCTGTTAAAACCAAATGAGAAAGAAAGAGAAAAAATAAAAAAGAAGGGTCTTGTTTTATTATTCTGCCATTGGGTAAGCCTGACAGTAAGCTGATCATGATCTAAAAGCTTGCATTCTGTTGTTGATATTCAGATACTAGAATCTGATAGATTAATCAGATTCAACGAAGAATGAATATTTTAAAATACTGTGAGATAAAGACTTCTTAAACTCAGATACAAGGCACATAATGAATCAGTTCAAGTTAATGTCTTTAGAACAGAAAACTTATGTGGCTTTAAGGTAAACTAAACAGATCATGAGAATTGCACTGCTGATTTAATGGGAGATATGAAGAAAACCGTTGTATATAAATACCTTCTAAACACATAAGTTTCACACAGACATGAGAAAAGACATTTACATAGCCTTAAAAATGAATTTGTAACGCACAAAATGGACATTTTCTCCTTTTTTTAGATATATCAAAAGCAGGAGCATTCTTCAAAATTGTAGACCAAAGTTGTCTATTGCATTTAGCCATGAAGATGTGAGACAGGCTACCAGAGGTAGAATCCCTGCTATCCATAATGCTGAAACTGAGTAAGAGGAAAGCTGGTAACGTACGAAGGGGAGTGTGGTGCATCCATGTAAGGTGCTATTAATATTTCTATTGTGGTATAAGGGTCTTTTATACAAAGATCATTTCTTGCAAAGTTTGACTAATATATCATGCTTATCACCTATTTCATTTTTATCAGATTTATTTATTCCTAATAAAAAATATAAAGACACAAAGTATTGTTTTTATTTGTGAATTTTATGCAGGCAATCCTGTACAGGTGACTGAAACTCTTTCTTCATGCCTTAAAGAACATACTGTACTCAAGGCTACCAAAAGAGCACAGCCTAATGTCTACTTTCCTACAAGTATATTGTTGGTAAGGGCTCAGTCTAAAGGCTAAGGATGTTTTTTGATTTAATGACCACTGAGGAAATAGAAATATATGAAAGAAAGTAATAAAATTACTTTGAAATACTTAAGACAGAATAGGAGAAGATTAAGACAAAAGGAAAAGATAGAAAGCTAAAGTACTTAGTGTCTTTTAAAGTAGGTATTGGTACTCATGTATTTAGTTGTTTGTGGACTGGAGAGGGTTGGGGTTTTTTTGTTATAAAGTTCTGTGTGGTAGAGTTATAACCAAATTAATGATACGTTTAAAATTTCATCTTCACATTTTATACTCCAGTGCAATTGGTTAGAACTATCCAATTTTATGGCTTCTGCCTCAAATAGTGACTTGTGATAATTGTTTCTCTCTTCCCATTTGATTGAAGAAAAAGATTCCGACAGACTTGTTCTCTTTTTATCCTCCCCAAGGGCTATTTGAAGAAATAGAATGTTAAATATGTTTCATGATTGGAACCATGAAAAGGGGTGAGTAATAACCCCTCTGCACATCTTGGTAAAGATTGCTTTTCTGTCTGGACTTTGATAATTTGCAGTAAAATTCTTCAGCAAGAGAATTATTCAGCATGGGCAAAAGTAATGAGTAAAATACCTACTGATGTAATACCTTTTCTAGTCTGTTTGGTCAAAGTTGCTGTTTAATAGCACTTTGAAGCTCAGTTACTTTGCAGAGAAACATTACTAAAGAAAGCAATTATTTTTAATTCAATACTGACCTTTTTGTTTCTAATTGTCATTTTTAATGTAAAACAAATTTATTGTGTAGCATAACAAGCATTCCTTTGTTCTTCTTGTTCACAATTTCTGTTAATGGGAGTCCAGTTTAGGGTCCATTCACACTCAGCAAATTGGGAAGATTTAACAGTGGTAAATACTTGGGGGATTGCAAAAGTGCCTCATGTGATGCCTTCTATTCTCAGCATAGGTTAAAATTAGAACTAGACTGACATTGCATTGGAGTCTGAGTGAGAGTTTTAAATGGCTTTGGTAATGCAGACAAGATTCAAAATTTCTCTCTGCTCTTGTCCAGAAAGCAATGAGTCACAGAAAATCCTTGAAAACACCAAATAATTGAGGTAAGTTGTTGTTAAACTCTTTCTGATGCTTGGAGGTGCAGTTGTTGGGAGATATGATTACTTGAGAGTGAATTTGTAGTTGTTTTAGAGCCATGCTTGGGAATTCACTTCTGAATTGTTGGCTGTGATGGCAAGATTATTTTGGTTGTTATTTTCTTGACAAATAATAAGATCTAAGAAGAAGATCTTTTTGATGGATTATATAACTGTAATGAAATCATCCTGAAAGTAGTCATATACTTAGATCCTTTGATATTTCATGGTTCTAAGGCAGTACTTGTTGAATAATATGCAGAAGAGAGTTGCCCAGAGTAAGCTTTACTAGAAATAAAAATTAGTTTGACTATATAGTATGACACTGGGTTTGGTAGTACAACTATTAACAAATGTCTCTTTTATGCACAATTTATATAAAAAAGATTTCTAGTTTTCTACCTAAAACAGCTTGTAGTTCAAAAAATGTCTCTAAACAACAAGAAATGATAGATTAGTTAATCACTTGGTCTCAACAGAAATTTAATCTTGAAAATATCAGACAATTTGAACTGTAACCACTGACAGGAGCAAAAAACCTCATGCATACCTAGCATTACTGTTGCATATTGGGGATGGGGATTGGGAAGGGTAGGTACTCTGATGACCACTGAAAGAGAAGCTAGTCCTTCAAACTAGTAAATGTGATCACATTTATGTGGGGGAGGGGAAAAGTATACAGTCCTCTCTTTACAGGAAAAAAATCCAATCTCTCTCTAGGAATCCAAAGGCCAGACTGCACTGTGCCACACTGGGGTTGCCATTTGTGTCACTTGTCGAATCCTACCATTTTTCCTTAACAAACAGACAACACATAAGAATCATAAATATTAATATATTAGACCAGATTCTTTTTTATTCAAGCTTTATAATTCGATTTTGTACTGTCTTTACAACAGGAGGCAATCCTGACATTTTGTATTTTATTTGCCTACACTTTTAACTTGATTTCAGTATAAACAGACTTTACAAATTAGTATGTTATCAAAAGACATAGTAAACATAAAATAGAATGATTGATAGTTTGAACACAAAAATGGTCACTAAGCAATTGTGGCTTATCCAAGCCACACTAAATTATAATAGAAAAAATATGAAAAAAAAAATTGGTTCTAAAAGACAGACCTGCAGCAATTACTGTAGGGAAATATATGTATGAAAAGACATAAAATTCCTCTTCTATTGTTACCTATCCTCTTGTTTGGAAGAAACTAATTTTTTTAGTTTGAAACAGACATAGGCTGTTTTTCTTACTTGCCACTACAAGTATCAGTGAAAAGTTAGAAAGGGAGCATTCAGATCATCAGTGTTCAGAGTACACTGCTGCTGGCATGAAGTTTAGCCCTGCAAGCTTCTCTGAATATCAGTATTTTAGCTCCAGTAATGGCAATAAGAATATTAGAGGGATGCACTGATTAAGATGAGTGAGTATCCTATTTTGCTGCTCTTCAGGACAATATGTATTCATCATCTCATTAAAGAATAGATAATTTCAAATTTTTAGACTGAAATTAATTTTAGATGTGAATTCTGACACTAAATAGGGATACACAAACATTCAAAGAGAAATCAGAAGGATTTAAATGCATTTTCCCAAAGGTAATGCATTACTAACTATAAAATACATTGTAATGAGTTAAGCTATGAAGAAAATGAATGCACCTAAAGTATACTAATTAATTTCCAGGAATACTTCAGTGTTTGTAAAGTGCAAAACTCCCTTAGTGACAAGTATTTATATCAGGTAGGTGCCAGAATGCAGCTATCCGAATTGAACTGCCTTAGATTGCAGGTAACAGCTTCATTTCTTCCTGGGATGGGAATGAATGCTCAAGTCTGCATTTAATAGTTATGGTCAATACTTAGCCTGCCTTTGGAAGGAGCTGAGAGAAGCAGTTGGTCACTGAATAAGAATGCAGAGACTGCAAAAGTACCATTTCTTATTTTAATAAAATTTAACTAGGTGCAATTATCTCTTTTTATAAAGAGAAAGCAGTTGATAAAATCCTGTCAGTTCTTTACATTAACTAATTTAATAACATAATGAAGTGAGTACTGAAGTATTTTAGTTTCCACATCACTGTCCCCATCTGGTAACCTGTACATGAAGTGGTGCATTGAGCCTAAAATTCAGTCAGATTCCTGCAGGCAAATCTGAACATGTAAAGGACCATGGCTGAAACTGCAGTTTGCCTGGGAACATTCAGTGCTGTGAAGACACTCTGGGAAGTGAGAATACACAAGATAAATGAAGAATTACAGAAAGAAAAGGAATTCAGGCAGAGGTCTGCAGGAAGGTAGGTAAATTGTAGCTCTTTAAGTATTTGAAAAGCTAAACCATATGTTACATTTCTGAAGACTGTAATAATTCTTGTTTAGGTCCCCTTTGGAAATCAAGCTAAAAGAAGCTGATTGACCTATTTTCTTGAACTTATATGTGGTGGAATGGAACACTTTCATTTTAGGAGACTGCTTCAAAATGTGATTTGGAACATAATTCCACATGATACTGTATTCTGTGGCCCTGCTGTAACATGTTGAATGTAAATTATATCCTCCTTCTGAATGTAAATTTGAAGAACTGTAAAATAGAATTCCTATAAATTACCTCAGCCAAACATTAAGGGCTTCTCTCCCTAGAAGTATAGTATATAATATCTAGTATATAGCTATAGTGTAACTACTATAGCTATAACTATATTATATTATATACTATAATAGTATCATATAATAGTATATTATATGATAGTATATTAACATCCAGATATAATTAATGTTATTTGGCAATAAGGAAATTTTTCCAGAAAATAGATAGGATAGGAATTATTGACTGTATTCATTGTGGCACCACTGGCAGATCTTCTTTCCCTTGTAGGCTACTTCTTGTCTGGGAGGAGAGAGCTGCTTTAGCAAAGCTCAAAGAAAAAGTTATTAATGAAGGTGGAAGAGCAATTTTAAGGATAGAGGAAGAAGAATGGAAGGTAGTGTTGATAGGAATAAATGTTGCTTGTGTTGAATGACTGATGCATTAGAAAACTGCTATTTACAACTTTACACTTACAGTGGTACTATTTTTGTTCTATTAACTACTCACTGTGCTTTGCTAACAGTGAATTGGGACACACTGTTGTGAGTGTAAAAGCAAGCTGGGTGTTTTTTAGTCCTGAATATTAAGCATTACTCTGCAAAAACAAAACCTAAAAGACTTTTCTGCATTAGAAATTATTTACACTGTAAAGTATGATTTTCATTATGTAAATTCTCATTTAACATTCACACACCAGAACTAATGAAATGCATCAAGATGAAAACCCTCTGTGTTTGTGTGCATAAAGGTATTTATTACTGTTTGTTGTCTCCTAAGAGTGAAAATGAGACATATATTCCCAGAACACTATTATTGTTGTTTTTCATGCACAGGGGTAATCTGCTGTTAATGCTGGCAGAGGGAAGGCCAGCAGTGCTCTGAGCCATGCAGAAATACACAGACCAGCTCCTAGAAAGTGACGAGTATTAGTTCATGTTGAGGCCGGTGAGAACATGACAACCAGGCCCAGCCATACTCCAGTGGTCTGCAGGCCAGTGATCCTGGTTCAGAATGCTGCATATAGACATTGTAGTTTTGTTATCCTTCAGCTCTTCTGTTCTCAGCTGCTCACTGTTTATTGACAGAATAGGAAATAGAATTTAGATGCCTCTTTATTTATCTGTTAAAAGAGGAAGGGAAAGGGAAAGGGAAAGGGAAAGGGAAAGGGAAAGGGAAAGGGAAAGGGAAAGGGAAAGGGAAAGTCAAGCCTGAAGCCTGTCAATGACAGTAGTGCAGCTATCTAAATCCTAGGAGCCATAAGTGGCCAGTTTAAATCTGTGATCGGAATGACAACCCACACTGGTGTTCACTTCAGGATCACGGAATATGCTGAATTCATTAAGTTGAACTCTTTGCTTTGCACAGCACCATCTTCAAGAGTCACACCATGTGCCTGAGAGTGTTGTCCAAACACTTCTTGAACTCTGTCAGGCTGGTTCTGTGACCACTGCCCCTGGGGAGCCTTTTCCAGTGCCCAACCACCCTCTGGTGGAAGAACTTTTACCTAATATATTGATGTATGTATGTAAATGTAAACCTTTTCCTAATATGTATGATATTAAAATCTTATCAGTTATGGTTGCTATTTCTAGCATATTTTAGAAAACAGTTATCAGGATTCATTTTGTAACCTACATGTTAGCTTAAAAAAAGGACAGACTGTTAGTGTTTCAAATAAAACTTCTGTCTCAGCCTGTATTCTAAACTGAATTCTTTCTGGTTTGTGTTTCTTATTGTAGACATTACCTTCATGCTTATTGAAACTAATCCATCTCCAGGAATGGCAGCTTCACAGAACTAGTTTGCAGAAAATTCCTCAATTTATTGGAAGATTTCACAGCCTTGTTGTTCTGGATCTATCCCGGAACTCAATTGAAAGTGTACCTAAAGAAATTGGTGAGCCGTGCTTTCTTTTAAGCTGCTTTTCTAAGAAAATTGGTCTCTCACAAATATACCATTTTTGTGCCCTTTGCCTGTCTAACAATCCCATTGATAGTAAGAAAACAGATGATTTAAATCTGACAGTGAGATAGCAATCTCCAAACTGTAGATTCCCTACAAACTAAGAATGGGGCTGGATGGAAGAGACATATCTCTATGAAAGCTCCCCATGACCAAAAAAAGGACCTGTTTGCACAGCAGGGACTAGACATCAGAATGCAGCTAGAAAAGTGATACTGAAAACCAGACTTCATGCTCTGAGTCCACAGCATGAGTAGCCTAGTCATAATTTTTTGGTTTTGGGTTTTTCCTTGAAGCACTCAACTAGAGTGTAGTCCTGTACTAAAGAGTCCTGAAGTGCTATTAGTTGCAGTTCAGTGATTTATTTTTGTTTTGTGAGAGAACAGAGCATTTATATAACAGTAAAAGGATAAGCCAAAACAAATAAAATTGTGCCTCAAATAGAATAAACATGAACATTTCTCATTTGTGCTCTCTGCAGGCCAGCTGACCAGTCTCCAAGAGCTGCTTCTCAGTTACAACAGAATAAAATCTGTTCCTAAGGAAATAAGTAACTGCATCAGTCTGGAAAGATTGGAACTGGCTGTCAACAGAAGCATCTGTGATCTTCCTCCTCAGGTTTTGACAGTGTTTAGTTTTGTTTAATGCATATTTTGAATTTATCCAAAGCCAGATATTATTACTCATTGCATTTCTGTTTTCAGATTTGCTGTGATGCTGTGATTTCACAGTAATCCACAGAAACACTGATGTGAACAACCTTTCTATGACTTGTCAAACTGAAGCCATATGAGAAGCACATACCTGAGTAACTGATGGAGCCAGTCTTTGTTTCAGCCAGTTAAATGATTTGGCAGTGCACAGAGTGCAGCGAAACACTCCATATCAATTTGTTTAGACTGGTTAACGTCACTGATTTACCCCACTAAGAATCTGATGCCTTAGCACAGAGAAGTTCCCTTTTGCAGTTGAGAGTACAAATTCATACCGTATGCCAGGACACAGCTGTAAGCATCTTTACCAGAACAGCTAGATCTGAAAAGGGGTGGTGTGATTTATACAACTGCCTGTGCAGAGGTGAAAAATTGTTGTTCTCAAATGTCAAAATCAATTATGAAAGAATGAAAAGAATTACTCACCTACTATTGAACTTTAATTGGAATAGACTGAAATGTGAGAGACCTACATATGTAACTATGTTTCTTAGACAGAGATGACAAGTATGCAACAGTATTTACTTGTTTTAATTGATTTTAAAAAATCAGTCATGGCAATAGTTGACAGCAATCAGTACCTTGCAAAATTGAGTGAGTCCAAACAGCAATAGCCAACATAGAATCTTCAAATGGAAATACACACTATTAACCAAAATCCACAATTTACAAAATCTATGTGGATACAGGTTGCAGGGTGTAATGTAGAAAATCCAGAGTTCTGTCTTATAGAGACTGCAGCATTGTGAGCACTGGGAAGCTTTAGTTATGTACACTTGAGTGGCATTCAGTCTTTAGATGGTTGCACCAGATCTGCTATAAAATGTCTTTGTATCACTTGAACATTGCAAAAGCACCTGAAGGCATGATTCACCAAAGGACTTAGGTGCTGTGATACTATGTTGCATTTTCAAAATGTCTTGCCCCAAATTAGACATTGCAGCATGGAAGGTATTACAATTCACTGCAAAACACAGTCCGTGCAATTTGATACATAAAAATCTAAATGTTTTACAAATGAAAAATGGCATATTGCATGCAGTATGAAATACTAAGGACAGTGCTGTCTTTAAAATTCTTTTTCTTAAGACTTGGGGCATATCTGCATTGTAGACAGAAGTTAGGGCACTAGCTGCTGGCTGGGAGGTAAAGTTCTGCTGCCTTGCCAGTTCCCAACCTATCTACCTTCCAGGCAAAATTCTTATTGTTAGGTACTATCAGCTATGGGAACTCAAAACCATTCTGTTTACTGGCTCCAAAATGTGTTGTAATGTGTCTCAGCATTATTAGATTACTGCAGTACTGCTGCAACAGCTACACAAAGTTGCATTACATCTCCCCTTCTTTTCAGCTCAGCGACTTAAAGAAGTTGTCACACATAGATTTATGCATGAATCAGTTTACTGCCATCCCTTCAGCTCTCCTCAACATGCCCAATCTAGAATGGTTAGATATGGGGGGAAACAAACTCCAGCAGCTTCCTGATGCAATTGACAGGTAAATATAGCTCAAAGCTCATCTTAGTGCAATTCCATTACATTGAAATTCTAATTAATAAATACTACTTCAAAAGGTAATCGTTAATGTTATATTAACCTCACTCTGAAGTCAAGATTTTATCAGCCCTAATGTGATGTTTTGGGTAAGATTGAATAATCCTTTCAACTAACAATAAATTCTGTATCAACTGTGAGGTTAAATATTTGTTGTCAATGACATTTTTCAACAGAGAGTAGGTGATTATGTTGGATATGGGGTTTCCTTTGAGACTTGTTGTATTATATGTGTTTTATGTGGCTGAAAAGTTATTTTATAGTAATGTATGGTAAGATTAATTTGCTAAATCTTGATTTATTGCACAAATACCTGTTTTTCAGAATGGAAAACCTCCACACTTTATGGCTCCAAAGGAATGAAATAAACTATTTGCCAGAAACCATTGGTAATATGAAAAATCTTAGTACTCTTGTTCTTAGCAACAACAAACTTAAGAATATTCCAGCTTGTATGAAAGACTTGACAAATCTGAGGTAAGAAAAAGCACCAGAAATATAAATGAAAATACTAGAAAATATTTTTAAAGCCTCCCTTGAGTTGTGTGTCACAGAGTGATAACAAGGAAGAGGAAAAGGCGTTACCTCAGTTGTACAGATGGACACAATAAATCAGCATAACTACACAGATTCACAACAATTAAGGATCTGGTCAAGCAAGCTTTGTGTAGTGAAACTTAGCTAAAGAAGTAAATTATGATAGCTACAGTCTCACATAAAAAAGTAGATTATAATACATTTTCTCATATCATACCCTCCCCTATATTTGCCCTTTTTAAACATTCTCTAAAGGCAAGAACTTGCAGAAAAATGTGGCAGGCATAAAAATGACAAGTAGAAATTTGCTATTGAGAAATCAATCATTCAGAATTAAACAAAAATTATTAGGTTTAAGGACATGGATAAAACTCTCATGTACTTGATATGAAAAATAAAAAATGTAAATTCTTAATTGGTAGAACTTGAACTACTCCTTAGTATACTGTGACAGAAACTTTACTATTAGCATTTTCATTTGGCTTACTGGATGCTGGCCATTTTAGAGAAAGAATGCTAGTCTGCATAAACCATGCCTAACACAAAAAGACAATTCCTGTTCTCAGCTCTTTTGGAAGCACCTCCTTAACTAGATACAAGCACAGGCCCAAGGATGGCCCAGGAATAGTGACAGGACTGGCTCCTGCCTTGCAAAGCTGGGAGGAGCCACTTGAACTGTTCTCATCCACTCACCTGTTTGTGAAAGTTCAACACATTTGACAGTGGGGTCAGAAACTGAAGACAAAATGATGAGGACCACAATGTTTTTTCCCACCACAACCAGCTACTATTGTAAAGTATCTTCTTAGCTTAGTTTACTTAATACTGCTGATAGAGAGGTGAGTTTAGTATAACAAGAACTTAATTTGCTTTTGCTTACAATAGTGTTTGAAACTAGGTTTCTCAATCTTAATTCAGTTTCAAAAGAATTATTTTCTCTGGACAAAACTTACTGCAGGAGTAACCTTTTCTGGTGAATTCCTAGATTTGTCAACTTCAGAGACAACCCACTGGAGCTAGAGGTAACACTCCCTCCGTGTGAGAACACAGATGAGGAGGAGCAACAGGAAATGTTTGGCATTGACTTCATGCACATGTATATCCAGGAGTCACTCAAGAAAACAGGCATGGCTTTTTTAATCAATCCTTATCTCTCCACAATTCAGTGAGGAAGAGAGGGATAAATTGGATAAATAAAATCTGGGATATGTATAGAAATGAAATGTGAATAACCTTCTTAATAAATGAGTAATGTTTTCCAAAAAATCTGTAAACAGGCTTTTACTGAGGGCAGGGGCACTTTCAACAGGAGTTGGCACAGTAAGGTCTCCACACGTTTGTGTGGAGCAGATTCTGGTAGGAACACACTGGAACCATGGAGCACTGTAATAGTGTCTACTATTACATGTCTACACCATGGATAACTAGAAGCTGATGACTGTCTTTTAATTCATGTCCTTTAATTCATGAAGCTCAACTTCTCCTATTTTTGGATGTTGTCCAGATGGTACATCCAGAAGAAGATTAAGGGACAAAAGCTAGGTTCCCACCATACATCTTTTAGCAATGAACTATCAACACCAGATGTTTCTCACAACTTGCTTTTCCTGACATAGAGTCACTTAAACAAAATGCCCAGTTTCACCCCATTTCTAAAACAAGACAAAAATTTGCTGTTCATTGTCTCCAGAGTAACAGTTTTAATGTTGCAGTAAGAGACCCAAATAAGCACTTTTGAACAGATGCTCAGTTGGCAGCTATTACTTGCAGAGAGCACTTCACTGCAGACATAAAATGTTCTCTCTGATCTTCATTCTGTGTTTTATGAAGGCTTAAAAAAATGAGTGAAATGCTCTTGAGTTAGAACACTAAGCCAGCTTTTTTCTTATCAATATTTCATGCATGAAACCAAATTAGCAAAAATATACCAAGATGACACTTTAGACATAAGTTTTTTTTCTGAATAGATTCCCTAGCACTATAGGCTGATGAAAGTACTTAGGCCTACTAAATATTTTAAGAGGAAATACAAAGCTATTCTGAACTTCAAAGTGAAAATAAAGTATGTTAACTTTTCTTATTTTAATGTATTGTCTTTCAGGAAATGTGGAAAGTTGTACTTCTGGTTCTCCTCCTGTCATGAATCCTACTGAAGAAAGAATGTAACTGTGAATGAAAAAAATATCAAGTACACTTCTTCACAGCAAAGAGGCTACAACAGGTTTCAAATATTCTTGGGAATTTTATTTTTCCACTGATGAGAACTGGTTTGCATATTTGTAATTCCCAGTAAGACTGGAAAATATAAGACCTTTTCTTGGGTACAGGAAAGATGATAAAATGTTTTTTTTTGCTAGGAAGTGAATTACCTTTTTTAAAAAAACACAGATAAGTTTTATAGGGTTTATTTTTTTTCCCCTACCAATTCCAAATCTATCTCCTATCATATAGTTGGCTCTGGTATCAAAGAAGGATTTGGGACAGCTGTCAACAGGACGTTCTCCAAGGACACAGCAGACTCTGTATAATACTGCAGTGCAGCCTTGTATCCTTGGTGTTGTAAATACTCAATCCGTCCATGATCAATCAGCCGTTTGCAAAGGCAACCGATCTCCTTTCGCTCCTCAACACTCAGTATCCTAGTTACAGAGAAAGGAGGGAAGGAAAGAACAGCTGTCAGAAAATAGTTTTGGTAATTAACATTAGTAGTTAAGCTTAGAAAAACTACCAAAATCATTGTAAGTTCATTTCAGTCAGGCAAGCATTACTGTTGAAATATTTTGAAATGCATGTCCATGAAAATTGTATTTTTAAACTAAAATATTTCTGTAAGTTTAGTAATTAAATGTTTCTGCAAAATCAGCCCTTTTGAGAACCCAAAACAATTTAAGAATTTAATTACATAGCTTTTCTGCTGAAGTCCATTTGCTAGGAAAAAAAATGTACATACCCTTGTAAAGTATCAGAACCACTCTCTGTCCTGCTGAGCGTTTCCTCATGTTCTTCTGTGTCATTAGTTTGATCTTCACTGCCTTCACCTGCAGCTTTGCTTATGGTTTCTTGCATGCCACAAGTGGCCCAACTACTCATTCTCTGAAAATAATGGAATTCCACTGGTCCCAGTCCCACTGATTTAAAGAAATCTCTGCCCACATAATGTGTCCAGTCACACTTGTGATGGCAACACAGAGCAATAACAATTCCAGCTACAGGCTTATGGTCTCCTGTGGTGCTTTCATTACCAGCAGATTTGTGAGGAGCCACCTCTGTCTGAGCAGCCCTGCAGCGTTTTGGTGCAGGCTCTTCACCTTCTCCATCACAGCAAGTGGTGTAACTTTCAACCAAGCATCTCAAAGCAAGATCTGGGAATGAACAAATACATCCCCCCACAATGAAAAATATCCATAAATGCCATGCCATTATTATACAGGCTCTATCATGGTTGGGAATGGGCTTCCCACTAAGAAAAATAAAATTACACATCACAAACTAAGCCAAAAAGCAAGTTCAGTGATACCTAAAAATTATAAACATGCTTTGAAAACATGAAAACCCTAATTGTGGTTTCTCTGGAGCGTCTAAGAGCTTGTCATCTGAAATACTTGTTCTGGAAAAGTGAATTTAAAATAGTTTGGTTAACAAATTGGCATATTGTAGGAGAATCTCCTCCCTGTAAAATGCACAAGTATTTGCTCTAAAAGTTTGATATCTAGGACACTATTTAATGCACATGTACTTCTTAAATGCTTAACTGTGTCATCTTTGTCATGCTACCTATAAAGGTGTCATATTTGAGATGTCTGTCTTTCTCAACATAGTAGCCATATAACATTAGAAAAACTGTGTTAGTTTAAGGTTATCAGGACAGAAACACAAACATATTTGTGTTTGGGATATGTAGTCAAACAACCAATAAAAATTTAGAAAGAAAATTGAAAGAGGCAACTGTGCTAAAAGAAGTGCTCTCAAATACATGACCCATGCCACCACATACTATTCTCTGTGCTAATCTATTAAAGCCAAGAAGGGCTTCACTTCTGCCTAAAGTATCCTTATATCTATTATCCTTTTACTATTCCACTGGAGTCAATAGATATTTAGAATATCATTACTGTGTTCACCAACAAAGGTTTGGAGGGCAAGAACAGCTTAAAAGGACAGTTTGGAAGATCAGTCCATTCAGAGTGTAAGGTTTAATATCCTGCCTTTCTGCAGTACACACGTCTGTAATTCCTACCTGTCGCAGCACCACACAAATGCTTCCCAATTCCTACCAATGGTAGTTTTTTCTTCTCCAAAATAGGTACCTTATCTGGAAGGAAAAAAACCCATAATGAACAAACCCCAATCCAATCCACAACTCTGTATTTTCTGATTAATATAATTTCAGCACATATAAAAATAAATGTTTGCCACTACTAAAAATACAGTGATTGGTACATTCAGATATAAGCTATCCAAAAGAAGGAGTCTTTCATTAAGAGAAATTAAAAGAACAGGATGCTTGTGGCTGGGAAGCACATTTAACCATTTCAGCCTTTCTATACTGCCTATGAAAGGTAAATATGACATTAATGCACCTTGTGCTGACAGGTGCTCCCACAATTCTACAGCATTGATGGTGCAACACTTACTTAATTCTACACATAAAACAAACAATGCAAATGTGTTTAATTCTGCAAGTGCTAAAAAGCCTTCAAAATGTATTTATTTTGGTACTTCTCACCTATAATGATGTCCTATGAGTAGAGAAGCAGAAAACTTTAAAACTCCATTTAAATTATATGAGTATATATATTCACACATGCCTGTGTGTATATACACACAGCATCAACATGTCCAAGCAACCAGCAAGAATAATCTTCAGAACCAAGTACATTTAAGCACATTACACACAAACTGACTGGAACCCCAATTCAAAATTTAAGAATAAGCATCTATTTCAGAATGACACAGGCCAAGAAGGAACTTACTTAAACATAAGTGCTGAATGTCTACTTGAAGCCTCTCAAATATAGAATCTCTCTTTTTGTGTTTTCCATCCACCTGTTTAAACAAAACAAGGGATTACATAGGGCTGGCCACTAATAATTCTGCTCCAGGTATTTATGTCAAGACTTTTTTCTTGTCAAGTCGACATCTATGAATTTCCAACATTAAAAATCGGATTTTTAAAAATAAATTTGCCATTGGTGAAGTATGGAATGTGTAACGTGTAAAATTCAAATTTATTGAAGATAAAAAATAAATACTAACAAATTCAATGGCAATGGTTTAAAAATTATACTTTACTCATGTAACAATATCCTCTTACCTTGAATCTTGTGGTTGCCCTTTCCACAAGCAAAAACAGAACACTTTCAACATTCTCTAAGGCAATATCAACCCAATGAGACAACTTTCCTCGCCCAGCTCCAAACTCGACAAAACACCTTCCTGGACCAAGTAAATGCAATTTTTCCATGTTACCTAAAATAGAAGCCTAAAAACATCAAAAGATTATTTGTGAACCAAGAAAATATATACCCTGTGTTTTGTAATGCCTTATAGAACAATTATTCCTTCACTGAACTGCAGAAAACTTTTTTAAGCCTTCCTTTCAGTGAGGGATTAGGGAAAAGATGATGTGTGTACAGAGGAAAGGGATTATATCTTATGTTTTACCATATCAGATTTCCTCTGCGGGAAGCAACAGTCACTCAAATTTACAGCAGCACAATTCCATGTCCAAACCCCTCTATAGTTACTAGTAAGTCAGACCAAACCTGTTGTTTCAGGTGCTTGAAAGCAGATTCCCCATTCTTTGGGTCATTTAAGGCTTCTTGTAAAGCCTGGTGGGACAGTATTTGTTCCTTAAGATGAAGTTCCAGGCCTGGAGGCAAATGCATAACTTTTAGGTATAGCTTTCAAGTTTCCAATGGTTCCTAGTTTTTAACACACATTACAATGGTGACATGAGCTCAGTTTGTAGCACTAACAAAACACTCTGCTGGGAGTATAAATCTATCATTGTAAGTTTGTAACAGAGCTGTATTGTTATCTGTAGTGATATCTGAGTGAGGAAAAAAAAGAAAAACAAAAGGAACACAGGACTGGAGTTTTATCATTCTTTCAATCTAGATTACTTTTTGGAGTAAAATTCAGCTATTGGAGGTCTGCCTGATAATTATTTCAGATGTGTTTTTTGGCATCTATCTGATATTTTTACAGGTATCTAACAACAAAAATAACAACAAAATAGTTAATCAATTAAATTTAAAACATCTTATTTTTAGTATTTAGAATTAATCTCACCATTACTTGCTTTTTTCAACTTGATAATTAAGTTCTGTAGCTCTTCGATAGACAGAGCAGATAGAGGAACCTTTTTATGGAAAAAGGAAGTGACACCAATAAATATGAGACCTTTGAAATTTTATGTATCTTTGTAGTCATAAATTGCAATGTGTAAAGTAAGGACTGAACCTAAAACCAAATAATGTACTCACTTTTTTTTCTGGTATTTCTATTATGTCTTTTAAACCAGCATTAATATCTTGAACAAAGTAGACCTTCAAAAAAGCAAAAGAAAAAAATTTGATTCGGTTAATTACCAGGAAGTAAACAGCTAAATTCTTCAGCATTCTTATGGTAAGGTATGTAGCAATAGGAATCCACTGCAAAGTAAGATTTTCCAAGTAATTTTTTTCCTATAGTGTGATCCTGAATCCCAGCCAGAAATGACTCTTCTGACACAGTTTTACAAGATTGAACATGTTCATAAGAGCTAAGCAGTTTGTGCTTACTAGACAGATTCCGGAGACCATGTTCAGGTGTCCCAGGGAATACTAAAGGTGTAGTATTTTTTATTTTTTAATTCTAATAAGGCAGAAAGGCAGGCAATAAAGAAGCCATCCTCTGCTTTCTTGGAAGAGCTGTTTAAACACATGTCCTGTTGCCTCCCTCAGCAGCTGCCAGCCAAGCTTTCTGTGGCTCACTGCCAGCCTGAGTGGACAGGCAGTTGGCTGGAATACCCAGAGCCTCCCTGCACGTTTTGCTTACACAGGACAACCTCTCACCCAGCCTCTGAAATGAATGGCACGGTGAGACCCTGGGTTCCCTGGCTGCGCTTCTGAGAAAAATGAATTCATCATTTTTGTTGGTAACCAAGAACTGAAAAAGTGTACCAAATTACAGTGAGAAGGG